CTTTGTTTTATGCTTCTCTTCTTTCCTAAGCTATTTTTAAGTCCTCCTCAGACAATCATTTTGCCTTCTTTTATTTCATTTTTCTTGGAGATGGTTTTGGTCACTGCCTCCTGAACAATGCTACAAATCTCCAGCCATAGTTCTTCAGGTACTCTATCATGTCTAATCCCTTGAATCTATTCATCACTTCAACTGTATAATCATAAGTAATTTGATTTAGATCATAACTGAATGGCTTAGTGGTTTTCCCTACTGTCTTTGAGTCTGAATTTTACAATAAGGAACTCATGATCTGAGTCACAGTCAGACCAGGTCTTGTTTTTGCTGACTGTATAGAGTTTCTCCATCATTGGCTGTAAAAAATATAATCAATCTGATTTGGGTATTATCAGTCAATATGTAGAGTCACCACTTGTGTTGTTGTAAGAGGGTATTTGCTATGACCATGTGCTTTCTTGGCAAAACTGTTAGCCTTTGACCCAATTCATTTTGTACTCCAAAGTCAAACTTGTCTGTTACTCCAGATATCTCTTGAGTTCCTACTTTTGCATTACAACCCCCAATGATGAAAAGGACATCTTTTTTGGTGTTAGTTCTAACAGGTCTTGTAGGTCTTCATAGAACCATTTGACTTCAGTTTCTTCAGCATTAATGGTTGGGGCATAGACTTGGATTACTATGATGCTGAATGGTTCACCGTGGAAATGAACAGAGATCATTCTGTCATTTTTGAGATTGTACCCAGGTACTGCATTTTGGACTCTTTTGTTGACTATGGGGTCTACTCCATTTCTTCTAAGGGATTCTCACCCACGGTAGTAGATATAATGATCATCTGAATTAACAGTCATCACCCATTTCTGTCCATTTTAGTTCATTGATTCATAAGATATTGATATTCACTCTTGCCATCTCTTGCCTGACCACATCCAATTTGCCTTGATCCGTGGACCTAAAATTCCAGGTTCCTATACTATATTGTTCTTTATAGCATCAGACTTTACCTTCACCACCAGACACACCCACAAGTGGGTGATGTTTCTGCTTTGGCCCAGCCTCTTTAGTCCCTCTGGAGATATTTCTCTACTCTTCTCAAGTAGCATAATGACCAACTACTGACCTGGGGGGCTCATCTTCTGGTGTCATATTTTTCTGCCTTTTCATACTGTTCATGGAGTTCTCAAGGCAAGAATATTAAAGTGGTTTGCCATTTCCCTCTCCAGCAGACCACATTTTGTCAGAACTCTCCACCATGACCTGTCTGTCTTGGGTGTCTTGCACAGCATGGCTCACAGCTTCATTGAGTTATACAAGGCTGTGATCCATGTGATCATTGTGGCTGGTTTTCTGTGATTTTGGTTTGACCTACTGTCAAAGCATTTGATGTTGTTGTTTAGTGACTAAGTCATGTCTAATTCTTTACAACCTCATGGACTTCAGCCTGTAGGCTCCTCTGTCCATGGGATTTCCCAGGCAAGAATACTGGAGTGGGTTGTCATTTCCTTCTCCAGGAGATTTTTCTGACCAGGGATCGAACCCACCTCTTCTGACTTGGCAGGCAGATTCTTTACCACTAAGTCCCCTGGGGAGCCCTTCAAAGCATTTGTAACACACACTTCTAAAAAGACCAGAGAAGTGTGTGTAGATGTTTATAGAAGGCAAGATTGGAAGTACTGGCTTCCCTTTTCTTTCCCTAACAGTTTCAGAGATGAGCTCTAGCACACAGACAGTCCCTGATGGGTCAGGAGTACATTTCATTATCGTCAGTAATCTGATTACAAATCAGCATGAGTTTGCTATAAGCTTAGAGATAATGATCTTAAATAAATAATTACGCACTTAATTCCATATATTCCTCTCACTCCCACTGTTATGATTTTATTTCAAAAACAATCTGTTCTAAAATTCCAGGAAAACAGTTTTTGGAAATTTTCTGAAATCAAGGGCAACCCTTACATAATTGATTATGAAAAAGATATAGTTATGCATGTAGGTGTGTGAGTTGCTGTGTATCTGTGAATCAAGATCTCCAGTTGACAGTTGTATTAAAATCTGAATCTGAATCTTGTGGTACAGAATAAAAATATAATGACAAAATTTTTTTGAACAAGCAATCCACTCTTGACAATTATTTAAGCTTGCAAATGCCTTGAAAGACAGGACCATTTTGCCCAATGTTGGAACCAAAACTGACAACCAGTGGACAACCAATAAATGCTTGCTGATTGAAAAGGCCCCCCTCTTCTTACCTGTTAGAATCTGAGGAGAAGAGTAATGAAGTTGCTGGCACAGCTCTTCCAAAGTTGTGTCCCAGCAGAACTGGAACATCCAACATCTCCAGCTACAACCCAACTTCTTGTCCAATAATAGTTTTTAAATGTCTGTATGCATGCTAAGTCACTTCAGTCATGTCTGACTCTTTGCGACACCATGGACTGTATATATCCCACCGGGCTACTCTGTCCATGGGATTCTCCAGGCAAGAATAGTGGAGTGAGTTGTCATATCCTTCTCCAGGGGATTTTTCTGACCCAGAGATTGAACCCACATCCCCTGCATCTCCTGCATTGCAGGCAGATTCTTTACCTCTGAGCCACCAGGGAAGCCCCTCTTAAATGACTGCTGCTGCTAAGAGTCTGTAATTTATATGGTAAAACTATCAGGTATTAAATATTTAACCCACATAAGTGCCACAATGTGTCTTCAATGCTAATGCCCAGGAAAAATGTATTAGGTGTTCGACAGGTTTTTTTTTTCCCCATTTATTTTTATTAGTTGGAGGCTAATTACTTTACAATATTGTAGTGATTTTTGCCATACATTGACATGAATCAGCCATGGGTGTACACGTGTCCCCCATCTTGAACCCCCCTCCCATCTCCCTCCCCATCCTATCCCTCTGGGTCATCTCAATGCACCAGTCCTGAGCACCCTGTCTCATGCATCGAACCTGGACTGGTGATCTGTTTCACATATGGTAATATACATGTTTCAAGGCTATTATCTCAAATCATCCCACTCTCATCTTCTCCCACAGAGTCCAAAAGTCTGTTCTTTATATCTGTGTGTCTTTTGCTGTCCTGCATCTAGGGTCATCATTACCATCTTTCTAAATTCCATATTTTTGTGTTAGTATACTGTATTGGTGTTTTTCTTTCTGATACCTCACTCTGCATAATAGGCTCCAGTTTCATCCACCTCATTAGAACTGATTCAAATGCATTCTTCTTAATAGCTGAGTAATATTCCATTGTGTATATGTACCACTGCTCTCTTATCCATTCATCTGCTGATGGACATCTAGGTTGCTTCCATGTCCTGGCTATTATAAACAGTGCTGCGATGAACATCAGAGTACATGTGTCTCTTTCAATTCTGGATTCCGCAGTGTGTATGTCCAGCAGTGGGATTGCTGGGTCATATGGCACTCCTATTTCCAGTTTTTTAAAGAATCTCTACACTGTTCTCCATAGTGGTTGTACTAGTTTGCATTCCCACCAACAGTGTAAGAGGGTTCCCTTTTCTCCACACCCTCTCCAGCATTTATTGCTTGTAGACTTTTGGATAGCAGCCATCCTGACTGGCGTGTAATGGTACCTCATTGTGGTTTTGATTTGCATTTTTCTGATAATGAGTGATGTTGAGCATCTTTTCATGTGTTTGTTAGCCATCTGTATGTCTTCTTTGGAGAAATGTCTGTTTAGTTCTTTGGCCCATTTTTTGATTGGGTCATTTATTTTTCTGGAATTGAGCTGCAGGAGTTGCTTGTATATTTTTGAGATTAATCCTTTGTTGCTTCGTTTGCTATTATTTTCTCCCATTCTGAGGGCTGTCTTTTCACCTTGCTTATAGTTTCCTTTGTTGTGCAAAAGCTTTTAAGTTTAATTAGGTCCCATTTGTTTATTTTTGCTTTTATTTCCAATATTCTGGGAGGTGGGTCATAGAGGATCCTGCTGTGATTTATTTCGGAGAGTGTTTTGCCTATGTTCTCCTCTAGGAGTTTTATAGTTTCTGGTCTTACATTTAGATCTTTAATCCATTTTGAGTTTATTTTTGTGTATGGTGTTAGAAAGTGTTCTAGTTTCATTCTTTTACAAGTGGTTGACCAGTTTTCCCAGCACCACTTGTTAAAGAGGTTGTCTTTTTTCCATTGTATATCTTTGCCTCCTTTGTCGAAGATAAGGTGTCCATAGGTACGTGGATTTCTCTCTGGGCTTTCTATTCTGTTCCATTGATCTATATTTCTGTCTTTGTGCCAGTACCATACTGTGTTTGACAGTTTTATTTCTTTGATTGAAAGACAACAGAACTTGGAAGCCTGGATGTCTAATTCTATGAACTGCAACTTTCAAAGAATCAGTATATGTGGTTTTCTCTTCATGTTATCACACACCATTAACAAAGCTCACCATAAATAATCTATTACAAATTCTACTCTTGAAAATAAACTCTAAGAAAGAGTTCAATGTAATCTACCACTAAAATGTAAATAATTGCTGGCTTCTAAGCCTTTTGGGAAAATTAGGCTTATCTTTGCAGTGCTTACTTGGGCTCCAATTTTAATGAAGAAATGAAGTCCTGATAAGAGACACAGGAGGGGAAAGCAGGATAAATACTAATATGCCGGGTGCTCTAAGATTAGGAACCTAGAAGATTTAAGTGAATGTCACTCAATCATGTCTGACTCTTTGTGAACCCATGGACCATACAGTCCATAGAATTCTCCAGGCCAGAGTGCTGGAGTGGGTAGCCTTTCCCTTCTCCAGGAGATCTTCCCAACCCAGGGATCGAAACCAGGTCTCCTGCACTGCAGGCAGATTCTTTACCAGCTAAGCCACGAGGGAAGCCCAAGGGAAGAAAAGTAAAGCTTTTTGTAGAAAATAGGTCAACATGCAGTGATTTTCTTCCAAGCATCTCATCTATTGTTGAATATTAAACATAATCAGGCATTAAGTAGGATAACAAAACATATTTACTGACAAACCTGGTGTCTGACTTACCTACTGGATTTCTATCAAAGAACAATACTGGAACTCTCAAAATGGACTCCAGCATTTTGTTGTGAAAAATTTGTGAAGAATTAACAAGAACGTAGAATATCAACAGAGATCTTGTGATGCTGAGAAGGACAGTACCTGCAGTTAGAACTGAAATAAAGATAAATAATTCAGCACAAAGATCTCTGCCTTTTCTTCAAAATGCTAAAGCATGTCAGACAGTTTATAAAGATATTATGCATTTCATTCTATAAATATAGTTTATATATAAATTCATATATAGAATGTAGAATGAAAAAAAGTGAAAGTGTTAGTCACTCAGTCACGTCCGACCTCTGAACCCATGGACTGTAGCCCATCAGGCTCCTCTGTGCATGGAATTCTCCTGGCAAGAACACTGGAGTGGGTAGCCATTCCCTTCTCCAGGGGATCTTCCCAACACAAGGATCAAACCTGAGTCTCCTGAATTGCATGCAGATTCTATACCATCTGAGCTACCAGGGAAGCACAGAATATAGAATAAATTTATATAAATATTGGATTCTATATGAGTTTAATAATTCACAAGATACATTTATAAAGAAGAATATAACAATCATTATGTTCCTCTCATTAAATAAAAATCATATGGGAAAAAAACAAGTATAAACTATAATTTCAGGCTTTCTTAATTCAATTACAAGTTCTAGTAAAAAAAACTTTGAAGAAAGAAAATTATAAAAAGCAGTTGATTTGCCTTTCTCCATATTTCAAATCTCTGTATTTACAGCATGTCTAAATTTACAACATAGCCTAAATTTGAGGAATGCTTCAATACCAGCATATAACAGGAAATGGGATAAATAATTTATCATTTTCTTGTAAACGGTAACTTTGTAGCAAAGTTTACTTCTATGTAAAGTAGCAGCTTCCATGCTCAAGTAGCTGTAAAGAGTATGAAAATATTACCATATTAAGTTGCAATCAGAAAAATCCTTAAATAATTGCAAGAAAATACAAATCATATTTTAACACATGATAATTAATATAAATGAGCAACTAATCTCTCACTAAATATTATACAGAAACCCGAAACTTTTGGAAATAAATATAATCACTCACATTCATGTTTTATTAATGACATCAATGAGTACCTACTATGCATATAAAAATTAAGATAGCCCTCCTAACATCTCCTGCACTCACAATGCTAAATAGGGTGTAAAAAACTTCTGTAATAAATATTCCACCAAATACCTTCAGCTGACACATCACTGTTATTTCAACTCTGAAGGCTTCTCGAATTCCTGAATTCCATCAACAGGCATTTGCCTTACCCCACCATCCTATATAAATGTGTAACAGAATCCTTTCCTTCTTCCTTTAAGTCCTTCTCCCCATAGTCCACCAATCGAAAGGTAAACAATGAATGGATTTATGTTTCTTAGCAAGTGATCAGTGTAATAAACACCAAATTTCAGTGAGTGGGTTCTTAAAAAGATAATGTATTCTTCCTTTGCAGAAAGCTTGTGTGAGGTTTCCTGTGGTGATATTTAATATTTTATGAGAGTTTCCTTTAAGAAGTATAGAATGCTACATATTTCTAAACACATCTGTGAAAGCACAGAGCTGTATTAATATCAGTCTGGCAAGCCAGATGCAAATTAATCACACAGTCGCAGACACAATAACAATGTGATCTCAAGGTAAGAAAGAGAAGGAATCCTAATTCCTAGACACTGCATTTTTCCCTGCTTAACATCTCTCTCAAGTAATTAGTGAAGCTCGAGAGATGAGCAGTGTGGTGAAGGGGAGTTTGCACACCTGCAACAGAATACACTTTTAGCTGGGGACACTTGCTGCCAGAGGATTTCATCCAAGTTCCATAAAAGCCAGAGTTTATTCAGACAGAATTGGAACAATCTGAACCACAGGGTGGAAATCTGTTTCTAACCTCCTTGCTCATCCATGTAATGACATAAGATTTAGCTAAAGCAGCCTATTAGAATAGACAATAGCCACATATTTCCAGTGGTTGATTTTCTGAATGTGCGATCCTGGTTTAACTTCCAAAATCCAGTACAGAGCAAATTGAGAGTCTTCATTCAACCTCTTTGTTCTAGTAGATTTTAAAAATAATCATTTTAATTAATTCACAGAGAAAATGTGACTCAGTCTTTTATTAATCTGTTGAGAAACTACTGAATTACTGCTGGAAGTCCTAGTTGCTCACACAGGCTCATTGTAAGCATCTCAAACTCTCATATAATAGACCAGATGACTCAGCTTTACCTGAATAAACTGTAAGGTACCAGACAGGATCAAGCAGCACAATTACTTTTCCTTTTCCATATGTTATGGCATATAGGCTACTCTGTCCATTTGCCCTATGGAACAAGGAAGAAAAACTATCATGCTATAGATAGAATTTAGATAAATAATGAAAACAAAAAAAAATTAATCTTGATTTAGGAGATGTGCTTTGTGCTAGAAAATGATTCTGCAATTACAGGGCCCTGTGTCTGTCTACCTTATAAAAATTCAACTTTCATTTTGACTTTCAGTTCTTAAAATCATCTATGAGGAAGCTGCTGAGAATCAGACATGGGGAGAGACCATGGGAAGGTCTCTCCACCAGCAGGAACTTTACTTTTTCTTCAGGGAAACTACATGAGGGTCAGAAGAGGAGACTGAACTAGCCCCATCTCTCCCCCTGACTCTGTGGGAAAGTGGGGTTCATGAAGATCTCAGAGCACTTTGGGTCAGATCAGGAATCACTCACCAGTCTGCAAGCCACCAATCCTGCAGGACATAGGCGACCTGGAGCAGGAAACACAGTCACTCACACACTGACATTACTGAGCCCTCACACCTGGGCTAACTGGGATGGGGGATGGAGAGGCTCCAGAACACGCAGATGGCCCTTTCAGCTCAGGTCTGCACCAAGCCCCACATCCCAGATGACCACAGGTCAAGGGAGAGCATGTTACATTTTAATATGTTTAAAACATATTGTCTTTTCCCTAGAATCTATCATGTACACGTGACACCAGTAAGCCTCACTTATTATGCTCCCCACAGATAATGCATTTCAATGCAAATCCAAGTGAACTGAAAAATATAACAGTAATAGTGCAAATATTGAGATTTTTTTAAGGAAAAAGTTTGACAGATACTGTGATGATCAGGTTTTCTATGTCAGCTTGGCCAGGCCAGTCTTCAGTGATTCAACCAAACACTCATCTAGATGCTGATGTGAAGGAATTTTGTGGATGTGGTTCACATCCATCCTCAGAACTGAAGCAGAGGAGATCACCCTCAGTGGGGCCTCGTACAGTCAGATGAAGGCCTTAAGAGCAAAACCTGAGGCTTCCTGGAGGAGGAAGAAATTCTGCCTCAAGACATCAGGGTCAGCTCCTGCTCAAGTTTCCAGGCTACAGGGCTACCTTTCTGATTTCAGATTCACCCAGCTAGATCCCACAAGTTCAGGGGCAAGTTCTTTGAGATAAATCTCTTAATACACATATTAAAAGATTATAAAATAAATACAGTATAAATTGTAGATAAATATCAAGCTGAGGGCACAAATCAAAATAAATGTTCTTTTTACCTGATCTGTGACATTTACTAGAATAAGGAAAATGATGATAAACCAATGAGCACCAGCTGTGAAGTAATTCATGTAGGTCTTAAAACCAACTTTTCCCACCAAACGGCCCTCCAGCGGTAATGTAACCTGTATATTCTCAGCCTGGGAAGGAAAAATGGTAGAGGCCAAACTTTAAATAACAAACCCCAAATTTTCAAAAATTCAACAATGTCCTCCAGTGCAAAGCTGTGGAGAAACAGACACATCTCATATGATGGTAGGAGTGCAAGATAGTCCATATCCTACAGAGAAGGGTGTGGAACTATCCAACCAAACCACATATGCATTTTCTCTTAGACACAGCCATCCCACTCCAAGGAATCTATTAAAAAATAAGGAAACACCATTTGCACGAGGTTATTCACTTTTAGATGGCTTTGCTTAAAGTCGATCATGAGTCTCAGCACACATACAACCCACCTGATTCAAGTATGAATGCAGAAGCTTGTTCTAAAATAATACACAAAATGATATGGAGCTAATGTAACCCTCTGGATGACTTGTGTCACTCAATGATGGAAACATAAAATGCAGTTAGGGCTCAAAATCCTAGCCATAACAGTAAACAGAGTCCACAAAGTGAGTTGGAGCAATGAGTGTTTGGAAAGCAAGCAGACAGCATATAATCCAAATTTATTTGTTTCTTGAACTTAAGAGAGTAATTCCTGAGTATAGAATGTGAGGGACTGGTTTGAACACTTATCAGAATCATCCAGGCTCGTGAGTTTGAATAGTGAGGATTTGAAAACTGAGGAATACCTGTGTATATTTTTAAGGAAGATCTATTGCGTTTATGTATTTCTGTCTGAAGGACTTAGGATGTACTATAGAGTCATAGGAACCAAGGATGTCCTTAACTCTATCCTGGCCACTGGGGATTCAAGGTGGATAAGATGTGGTTCTTGGTGTTAAACAGTAAGAAAGGAAGATGGGAACTAACTCCAAAGTGTCTACTGTGTCTCAGGTCCTTTGCACAGGCTACCTCTGGCCTATCACAGACCATCTAACAATGGGGGAAAATACTGCCATCAGTCACCTTCAGTGCCAAAACATTCCAACATACAGGAAAAGTAGCTGATTTAATGTGGTCACAGCAGGACTCAGTCTAAGGGGATCTTCATATTAAGCCTCTTGGATGCATAAGGGAAGCTGGAGGACACCAGAGCATGTAGGATATAACTATGAGAAATTGAGGAGTTCTCATAAAAGTGTGAAATACATATGCCTGGGAATTTATAGCAGTGCACCCACTCCTGGTCTTCATAAGATTCTCCTTTCTACAGCTAAAGGGGAATCTGAAGCAGGCCTGCTCCCGCCATGCTCTTTTAATTCTACCAGTTCCATGCAACAAGGCTTTGGAAACTTAGGGTCTACTTTGGGACAAAGATCTTGTGAGTGGAGCAGACTGAAGGTCTATGAGGCCACAAAAAGCAGACAGACCCAGCACATTGCAGGATGAGAAACTCACATCTTGGTCCTCAGGAGCTGCATCTTTCAAGGAGGGTCTGGGAGACTGTTGAAACTGAACTGAAGACTCAGAGTTCAGACTAGGAGCTCCTGGACCTGGAGAAGGTTCACCCTCCTCATTCTTCTTCTTTAAAAGAATATCTTCAAAATCTACTCCAAATTTTGGAAATTCAACCAAAGTCCCCTTTTGGATAATTTTTCCCTAAAATAAAGAATTTGAGAGAAATGTATTTGCATTTGATAGTATTAATCTAATCTACATACAAATCAAGAAAAGTTAACCAGTCTTAAGTTATGATTTTCCTATGAAAATGATTCTTAGTTCTGGAACTCTGGTGGACAAATCTATTTCAGTTCAACCTGACACAGAACTGAGCATTCTGTTCTCTGCCAAACCCTCTGCTAGGTGTTGGGGGATGTGAAAAAAAAAGTGTGATTATGTGTTAAATATGAAGGTCATTGAATAACACCTTGGGGGTTCAGGGGAACTAAAAGTACAGATGATGGTGGAAGTATCAGTATAGTATTTTTAGATAACATGGAAATTGAGAGAAGCATCAGGTAAAAAGCAGAATTTTTTTTAAAAACATTAGCTAATTGGGGAAGATATTCCAGGAAAGGACCTTAAGGCTGACACAGAAGTGGCCACAAGCACATCTCCATAGGTAACAGTCTCTCATCAAATCTTCACTGACCATTATCACAGTATCATGTGCCTGGCTGGGATATGTAGGAACATAAGACATGTAGGAACAGCGCCCTGGACAGAGAACCTGTTAGCTTTGTCTTCACAGTTTTTACCACTACCCTACAAATTCAGGAAGTCCCAACTGAAAATTCAATATTCCACCTGTTTAAGTGTTTAAACAAGGAGGCCATGAGACTGGGGAGGCTTTAAAGCCTTGACGGCCCATGCCAGCAAATCAAAACCTAAGAATCAATGCTCTCAGATCTGAGAAAATAAAAACAAACAAACAAAAAAAAAGATAAGAACAACCACTCACAAGGAGTCAACCAAGTTTCCCCAAATCAGACAACTGCTTAAGCTACAGTCAACCTAATCATGCTCTTCGAACATGTGTGACACAACATTGCAGTTTCCCTCCCTTACAAAGTCTTATAAAATAATGTGCAAATGCCTTCACTATTTACTGATCCCATGAAATAATACTCAGCTCATTCATTCAGCCATCCCCTCTCTGCTGTGAGAGAGGGACCAGACCAACAATAAGGATGCACCCTAACTCACCCAGGGGTGCTCATAGTTGTTCTGACAGCACTAAACTTGATGGTGGGTCCTTAAAAGCAGCAGTAGAGGAACTTAAAATATTGAATGATGGGCTAAATAGGCTATTCTGTCTCCCACTGATCCTGTGCTCATATACTGTCAATGTTGGGGTTTTGCACACTAGTGTTACCCTCTTCCAAACATGAAATTAACTGCTATCAAAATATGAAAATCCTGAGCTCCCCACTGCTAAAAGAGTGGTTAAGAGTCAACACATGGAACTACTTCTAGATAGGTAGAGGTTCTGCATTTTAATCATCTTTCTTAGCACAGAAATTCATTTGATAAATGAGGGATCTGACCAAGGGACTGTAACAGACAAAGGTTAATAATGGAGACGCTGAGGCCCAGAGACAGGCAAGTCAAGAAGTGAAGTATTAAACCACCAACAAGTCTGAAAAATTCTCACTAATCTCCATCCCATGGCCAACCATGCCAGGAGTTGTGGGTTAAATGGTGGCCCCCAAAAAAGCTATGTTCAAGCCCTAAACATGACATCTGTGAACATAACCTTATTTACATTCAGTGTCTTTGAAGATGTAATCACATTAAGATGAGGTCATACTAGACTAGAATGACCTTAAATCCAATAAGACTGATGATGTTATGAGAAGAGAAGAGACCCAGACAGACATGGGGACAATGGTCACGTGACATCAGAGACCACAGTGCTGCAGCTGGAAGCCAAGGAACACCAAGGAAGGCCGGTGAACACCAGAGGCTGGAAGGAAGGATTGTCCCCTGGAGCCTTCAGGGAGAACACGGCCCTTCCAGCACCTGGACTGGGGACTTGTAGCTGCCAGAACACAGAGATGATAAACTTGTTAAGTTACCCAGTTTGCAGTGCTTTGTTACAGCAGCTCTGGAAACTGATACTCTAGCCTGAGTCCACACTTCACTCTTCTCATCTTTGCTAAGCCTTGTAACTGCTTCTGCTGTCACCCCTCCAGTGACCATCAGAGGAATCTCTTAACTCTCATATCAGACCATGTCACTCCTCTGCTCTGGACTGTCCAAGGCTTCCATCCCACTTCCGGTCCCACTGCCTACTGCCCAGAGACCAGCTCCTTCCACATTCCCCTGCTCCCTGTCCTAAAACATGCTGGTCTTCCTGCTGTTCCTTCAATCTGCCAGGTCAGTTCCTTCCTCAGATTCCCTCCTTCCATGACTACATGGCCCCCACCTTCATGTCACTCAGACCCCACGAGGCACCACTTCCTCAGGGAGGCAGCCAGGATGTCAGCCCACCCCTCTCTGTCACATCCATCTCCATAAGAACAGGAGCCCCATGAAGGCAGTACCTTTTCCTCCTGCTGCACAGGCTCCCACACGTATCAGGCACATAGAGACCAGGTCAGTGAGACCAGCAACTGGCCACACCAGCAGAATGGGCATCTGTCACCTGGGTGCTTGGCTACCCTCACTTCTGGTGTTAATGGAAGGTGCTCTTTAGGCAAACTATGTATAACAGTCACCTGGATACAAACAAGTCTTAGTATCTCTAATTTCCAATTAATACTCTTTGACTTAAGTTTTGGAAAGGGGGAAGAAAGTTCTACAGAAAACATCATTATCCTTAACAATTGCACTAGAACAGTGATGATTCAGTAGCTCCACAGTAGCACTTTTCTACACTAGGGTTTATGTGGCTTGGAGTGCAATAGTGACATTTCTACAGGTCTTTGGATTCATCTTCAAAGGCATGAACACCAGCTCTAAGCAGAAAGGAGTGTAAAATTGAGGAAGAGGGCATTTATTTTTAATCCAAGGAGAGTGACCTGCAGGGAGGTCTGATCTTCAGCATGCAAGAATGCTAGAAATTCCACAGACTTCTAGAAACTACCTACATTTTTCAGTATCAGAATCTGACTTGCATCTTTCAGGAACTGCCACTGATGAGTCACTAAGATTGTTATCTTCTCCTTCAAGGCCTGATGAATACACCTACAAATATAAAAGGCACAGTACACAAAAACAATTAATGGGGGTGCTCCAAACTTAAAACATGTATTTTGAAAACATAATGAGACTAAAACAACACAGCAAAGGTCTATAACTTAAATACCATATAATAATACAAATTAAATACTATTATAAGTCAATGATGACAACTAGGTCCTCAGATTTATCAGCAGCAAACTTGAATCTAGCTCTGCTAAAAAAAATCTAAAAAACACTCCACTGAAGGAAGCACTTACTAAATTTTTTTCCAAAAATTCAGTGTAACAATAATTTATATTTCATAATGAAAAATAATTGAGCAATACTGAGATTCAAAAACCTGACTGAACAAAAACACTATTTTATCACTATGTGGGAATGGGAGAATAGGGATCTATATCATATCAAACTCTGTAGATTTTTCTTAGACAGTACTTAGGTGATTATTTATGATTTATGATGTATATATTAACAACAAGGGGAAAAAACAACAAAGGATTTATAGAATCTTAGTAACTTCTGCCAGAGTGCATTTTGTAGACATTTCTTCCCAAATAGTATTAGAAAGAAAATGAATGTTAGCATGGCCTCCATCTGTCTCTACAACATTTCTTCCCATCCAGGAAGTAAGTCTTCTTTCACTAGGACTGAACACCTTCCAAATATGAAAATGAAAGAATGGAACCCAAATGGCCCAAATCACAGTGGGAATCATCCAGTGGCTCAAAAGACACACCAGTTCTCTTAGCCAAGAACCCTGTGTGATCAGGCCACCTAAGACGGCTATTCTTTTGCTCTCTGTACATCCCCTGTTCCACCAGTGCCTGCTTCACCTATACCTACTCACGTGACTGACCTTCCTATGTACTTGCCCCAGAGCCCAGCTAATAACTCTATCAGATTTAGATCAGAACCCTCCACAATCCTTATCAAAAGGGGTAGTAAGGGGCATGACCCTCTGCTGGTTTTCATAGTAACCGATGGCCCATCCTGACATCAATTCCCCTTATAACAAGTAATCTCCCCACCCTGCTCTCTGCTTCCAATTCCCCCTATAACAAGTAATCTCCCCACCCTGCTCTCTGCTTCCCCTGGGAGCAAAGACTGCCACGATGTCCTATTCCAACATGGACCTCAATTTGTGGATGTCCTTCTAGGATTTCCTTCACAAGTGTGAGCTGGCCCTAACCATTAAACCGTCTCTGCACTGATTCCGGGCTCTTTCCTAAGTCTACGCTGGACAAGTACAGGTCTGGCAGGCCTGCTGGGTGCAGCCCAACAACCCCCCTCAGCCTCCAACCTTAAGTGCATTTTCACAGTAACTCCTCCAACTGCTCCTACATTTTAAATACAGACCCCCAGGGACTCAGCCTAAGTCTCACCCCACAGGGTCCACAACCCTCCAGGGAAGGGTGTAGCTGGGTCCATGGTCCCGGTGACCACAGGCAGGGCTCCAGGCAGGTACTCTGGGTGCCGGAGCCCCTCACAGAGGAAATTTCAGGAACATGGACCAGAGCAGCCTGATGAATGAGTCAGATGGAGAGCCTGGAGGCAGTAGACTGCAGCTCAGTTCCTCTCATAAGCCTGAAGACATCAGACGAGTGACTAAACCTGTTTCTTCACCTCAGAACAATGTCAATGAAAACTCATCCATGTGTTCTGAGAAATCAACCACCAACCCATTCGGTAAACACCAGCTCCCTTCTCTACTCCTCCCTAACCCATGACAGGTCCTAAGTTTTGGACTCAGGATAGAACAGTCCTAAGGGAACACTCTGGACACTGGGTCTGTGGTCAGAAGCAAGACCCAGGGGATGTAGACACATACACCATCCCTTCATTAAATCCAAAAGGACCCATTTTTCCCTTTGACATGTCTTAGTTCAATTTACCTAAGTTTCTTGACTGAATAACCCCCTCCTCACACTTAGTACTAAAGTTTTTAATGGAATTATTTATCCTTAGTTCCTAATTACTTGCCAATAGTCCCTGAAGGTTGATGTTAGTCAAATCTGATGGGCTGCTATGTCCAAGATGGAGCAACCCAAAGTTTTAAAATGTTTTCTTCCTAACATCCCATCATAGATGAGGTGATATAAATAATTATAATGACGGGATCAGTTGATGGCTTTGAATGTTTCCTAAATAATGCTTTTTAACTGAAAAATAAATAAATAAATAAATAAATAATGCTTTTTATTCAAATCTCTAAGAAAACAGTTTGTTTTCCAAGTTTTTCAAGTAAGGATTTCTCAGTCATAGCATGAAAATGATTGTTTCAGCAACAACTTGTTCAACTGTTATTCTTATGTAAGGGCTGTATTAATCCTATTTATTGGGTAGGTCACTAAGATTGTACAGGATTTCCCATAACATTGTATTAAAAAAAAAACCAAATGAACTTTTAGGTCAATGCAATATAATCCTATATAAGGGCTGTGTTCAGAGCATACACATCCCATGATAGATACAAATATGACAGAGCCCCACCTTCATTCATTCTATCAGCAGAGGTTTATTGAGGTGCCACTCATTTGACCTATATCGAAGGACAAGAAAGCAGACAATCTTTTGCACCAAGAGCGACACACTGAACGAGTATAGAAAATGCACCATGAGGGTGTGACATGTGCTCTGAAGGAAAAGTAAGGGGGGAGGGTGAAACTGTTTTAGATGTGGAGACACGGGAGCCCAGATATTATCTGGGGAAAAATCCTGGAAGAAGGCACAGCAGGTTCAGGGGTCCTGACGACAGCTGGGCTGAGGCACCTTCCTGCATTCACAGTTTAGGGCGATCAGTCCAGTTCAGGTCAGTCACTCAGCCATATCCGTCTCCTTGGACCCCATGGACTGTAGCATGACAGGCTTCCCTGTCCATCACCAACTCCCAAAGTTTACTCAAACTCATGTCCATCAAGTCAGTGATGCCATCCAAACATCTCATCCTCGGTCGTCCCCTTCTCCTCCTGCCTTCAGTCTTTCCCAGAATCATGGTCTTTTCCAAGGAGTCAGTTCTTTGCATAAGGTAGCCAAAGTACTGGAGTTTCATCTTCAGCATCAGTCCTTGCAATGACTATTTAGGACTGATTTCTTTTAGGATGGACTGGTTGGATCTCCTACAGTCCAAGAGACTCTCAAGAGTCTTCTCCAACACCACAGTTCAAAAGCATCAATTCTTCAGTGCACAGCTTTCTTTATAGTCCAACTCACACATGCATACATGACCACTGGAAAAACCATAGCCTTGACTAGATGGACCTCTGTTGCAAAGTAATGGAACCATTCTGTTGTTCCATGTCCAGTTCTAATTATTGCTTCTTAAACTGCATACAGATTTCTCAGGAGGCAAGTAAGGTGGTCTGGTATTCACATCTCTCTAAGAATTTTCCACAGTTTATTGTGATCCACACAGTCAAAGATTTTGATGTAGTCAATAAGGCAGAAGTAGATGTTTTTCTGGAACTTTCTTGCTTTTTCAATCATCCAAAGGATTTTGGCAATTTGATCTCTGGTTCCTCTGCCTTTTCTAAATCCAGTTTGAACATCTGGAAGTTCATGGTTCATGTACTGTTGAAGCCTGGCTTGGAGAATTTTGAGCGTTACTTTGCTAGCATGTGAGATGAGTACAATTGTTTGATAGTTTGAATACTCTTTAGCATTGCCTTTCTTTGGTATTGGACTAAAAACTGACCTTTTCCAGTCCTGTGGCGACTGCTGAGTTTTCCAAATTTGCTGGCATATTGAGTGCAGCACTTTCACAGCATTTTTTAGGATTTGAAATTTTAGGATTTTAGGATTTGAAATACCTCAACTGGAATTCCATCACATCTACTAGCTTTGTTCATAGTGATGCTTCCTAAGGCCCACTTGACTTTGCATTCTAGGATGTCTTGCTCTAGGTTAGTGATCACACCACCATGGTTATCTGGATCATAAATATCTTTTTTGTATAGTTCTTCTCATATTCTTGCCCCCTCTTCTTAATATCTTCTGCTTCTTCATAGGTACATACCATTTCTGTCCTTAATTGTGCCCATCTTTGCATGAAATGTTCCCTTGGTATCTCTAATTTTCTTGAAGAGATCTCTAGTCTTTCCTATTCTATTGTTTTCCTCTATTTCTTTCCATTGATCACTGAGGAAGTCTTTCTTATTGCTCCTTGCTATTGTTTGGAACTCTGCATTTGGATGGGTATATCTTTCTTATTCTCCTTTGCCTTTCATTTCTCTTCTTTCCTCAGCTATTTGTAAGGCCTCCTCAGACAACCATTTTGCTTTTTTACATTTCTTTTTCTTGGGGATGATCTTGATCACTGCCTCCTGTACAATGTTACGAACTTCAGTCCATAGATCTTCAGGTACTCTGTCTATCAGATCTAATCCCTTGAAACAATTTGTTACTTCCCCTGTATAATTGTAAGGGATTTGATTTAGATAATACTTGAATGGTCTAATGGTTTTCCCTACTTTCTCCAATATAAGTTTGCAATAAGGAGTTCATGATCTGAGCCACAGTCAGCTCCCAGTCTTGTTTTTGCTGAGTGTATAGAGCTTCTCCATCTTTGGCTGCAAAGAATATAATCAATCTGATTTCAGTATTGACCATCTGGTGATGTCCATGCTGTAAAGAACAATATTTCATAGAAATCTGGTATGTTAGGTCCATGAATCAAGGCAAATTGACAGTGGTCAAACAGGAGATGGCAAGAGTGAACATTAACATTTTAGGAATCAGTGAATTAAAACGGACTGGAATAGGTGAATTTAACTCAGATGATCATTATATCTACTACTGTGGGCAAGGATCCCTTAGAAGAAATGGAGTAGCCCTCATAGTCAACAAAACAGTCTGAAATGCAGTACTTGGGTACAATCTCAAAAATGACAGAATGATCTCGGTTCATTTCCAAGGCAAACCATTCAATATCACAGTAATCCAAGTCTAGGCCCCAACCAGTAATTCTGAAGAAGCTGAAGTTGAACTGTTCTATGAAGACCTACAAGACCTTCTAGAGCTAACACACACACAAAAAGATGTCCTTTTCATTATAGGGGACTGGAAGGCAAAAGTAAGAAGTCAAGAGATACCTGGAATAATGGGCAAGTTTCGTCTTGGAGTACAAAATAAAGCAGGGAAAAGGCTAACAGTTTTGCCAAGAGAACACACTGGTCATAGCAAACATCCTCTTCCAACATCACAAGAGAGGGGTTCGGGGGTGCTCACAAAAGGTCAAGTGCACCCACTGAGGGGTGCGGGAAAACAAGGGACACAGGCTCCTGCTGGAGGAACAGGAGGGAAAGGCAGGGCCTGTCTTCCACCTTCCTATGTGCCCTGCACACTGCTCCCTGGCTCTGGGACAGACAGATCAGTATGTACAGACAGACAGGGGTGAGAAAGGACCCCCCACAAAGCCAACACAGCTGGATACCAAGTGGGTGTGGGGATGAGCTGGAAAGACTGAGGGGGGCTGACAGCAAAGAAGCCTATGCTCTGTTTGAGGACCTGGAGATGCATCCTGAATGGGGTGGCGGGGCAGGGGATGGTGAAGAGCTGGAGGGTATGCTATGTAGATGGCAGCATGGGAGTCTGATTAGGATAGACCTGAAGACCTGATGATGCAGGACACAGGGGTCTGGTAATGTGGGGCTGAACCATGACAGGACCCACAGCTGGACACAAGTGAGACTGCATCTATTCACCTAAGGGTTCTCACCATCTGTAGGTGATAGAACCCACTTAATGTTAACAACATATAGTTGTAAAACGCATGAACCTTAACAGTCTTGGATATATAGTCATGATTGAATGAAAGTGTTAATGGAAAGTAGAGTGTGATTCACTCATGTTTTATACAAAACACTCCCCCAACTAAGTTTCAACATGACTATGTTTTCTCATAGCACATTGTTCCATCCAATTTTCTAACTTAAGAACATTATCCACTTGCTGCTGGAGTCAAACACGACTGAAGCAACTTAGCATGCATTCATGCATTGGAGAAGAAAATGGCAACCCACTCTACTATTCTTGCCTGGAGAATCCCAGAGACAGAGGAGACTGGTGGGCTGCTGTCTGTGGGGTCGCACAGAGTCGGACATGACTGAAGCGACTTAGCAGCAGCAGCAACATCCACTTGCTGCTGAGTGATTTTGTAAATTATCTTTGTGATCCCTGCTCTATGTTAACTCAGGGAATATGGTTCTGATTGGCAAACAACAGGATTAGCAAGCTCACTTCTATCAAGTGTACATCCAAGGTTACTAAACACAAAGTTTGGAGAGAACTTTATAAATACCTCCCATGTTTGAAGAACTTGGGAGAGCTATTGTGATCAGCACACTGACACTTGGCAAGCAAAAGCACATAAGAAAGGATGACAGACATTTGTGGGTTCAGGGCGGTGTGCTGGGAACAGGGAGGATAAGCTACTTGTGATGCCAGGAGGGTAGGAGGTAGGAACTACTGTCGCAGTACTAGTGTCCCATCACTGAACTTATGAATAGCCACAAGGCACTTCTTAAAGGAAAATTCATCAGTGAAAGTGTTAGTCACTCAGTCATGTCTGACTCTCTATGACCCCATGGATTGCAGCTTGCCAGGATCCGCTGGCCATTGGATTCTTCAGGCAAGAATACTGGAGTGGGTAGCCATTCCCTCCTCCAAGAGATCTTCCCAACCCAGGGATCGAACCCATGTCTTCGGCATAGCAGACAGATTCTTTACCATCTGAGCCACCCGGTGCCTTAAATGAGAGAAAATTCATCAAATCACAATCAAAAGAGGGTGGGAAAGGGGTGTCAGATCAGAGACCTGGAGGCCATGCCATGTGTCAGCTACCCTGCTCTCCTGTTTTCTGAAAGATTCAGTGCTAACATGTACTTTTTGTGTATGATAAAATACACTAAAATGAAATTTACCATTTTAACTATTTTTAAGCATACAACTCAGTGGCATTAAGTACATTCACATTGTTGTGCAAACATCACCACCATCCATCTGCAAAGCTCTTTAATCACACCAACACTAAGTATGTTTTACATACAGACTTCAGTGGTGCCTGCCTCATGACCCCTGCTTAGTGGATGTGGAATCCCAGCTCCTTATATCCAGAGCTCAGAACTCCTCACACATCTCTCTCTCATACACACCACTGATCTGCTGTAGTCTCTTTGAACTTCACCACCCCTCTCAACTTACATGATGACAAATTGACTGCCAGTACCTTAGAATCTGATGACAGAGGCTTTAGTGAGGTAACTGTTACCCTTAATTAGGGTTATCCTAATCCAATCTGACTGGTATCCTTAGAAGAAGAGACTAAGACAGAGGACAGAGACAAAGAAGTGCACATGAACAGAGGGAGGACCATGGGAGGACAGAGGGAGGACCATGGGAGGACACAGCAAGGAGGATGCCATCAGAAGACAAGGAGAGAGGTCTCAGCAGGAACCAAACTGCCCACACCTTGACTGTGAACTTCCAGCCTTTAGAACTGTGAGAAAATGAATTTCTGTTATATAAGCACTTCTCCCCCAACCTTGCATCTGTGATAGTTGCTATAGACTGAATGTTGTGTCCTCAGAATCTATACATTGAAACCTAACCTGCTGTGAGGTTCTGGAGGTGGGGCCATTGGGAGGTGAGCAGGTCATGAGCGTGGAGCCTGTGTGAAATGGATTAGCATCCCTATAAAAGGGACCATACCCCTTTTATGTAAAAGGGCCCCCTCACCCTTTCCACCATGTAAGGACACAGGAATTATGCCCTCACCAGACACTGAATCTGTCAGCACCCTGACTTGCACTTTCCCAGCCTCCAGAACCGAGAGAGATAAATTTCTGTTATTTCTAAGCTGCCCAGGCTCTGGTCTCCTGTGAGAGCAACCTGGATGGACACAGCCCTAGCAAACTAACACAGGGCCTGATAGCGAGAATTTCCAAATAGTTTCTTTCTGCTGAACACCCCACCTCCTCCAGGCAAGGATGTGCCTGCTGTCCTCCTCACAGCCCTGCTTCCTCCTCCCTCCACACCTGAGCTTCTACTCTTCCTTCAGCAAAAAACTGGGTCCTTTTCTCAGCCTCCACACACCTGCCCAGCCTGCAGGCCCAGGGCACTGCCTGCTCAGCCCCGGGCACCAGGAGCTTTCCAACTTCAGTGAAAGCCTCCAGCTGCCACTTCCACTTCCATTTAGCATTTCTTATCCTGCATCAAAACCCTCTAAACCTTGACTCTGCTGACATTTTCCCAGGCATCTCTCTTAACAAGCTCGACATAGTGACAGGTTCCTTGGAGCCAAGAGTGAGAGCTTGGCATCCTAGTCTCCCTTACTCTTCCCAGTGTGGGTCCTTTCCCTCTCCTGACTCACTCTCCTCCTTGTAAACTAAGAAGTTTTTTGCAGTAACATCTGTAAGGGCATTGATCTCAGTGCATACAGCAGGGTGCTAATAAGTGCAGCTGGAAGGGCTCATTGGCTTTAAAAAGGTGAATAGCAGCAAGCAAACTACTGATGGGGGAAATGTGGAGGCTATTTTAGAAGAAGCAAGTTCATGAGGCTTTCCAAAAGGCCAGCCTAGACTCCACCAGAGGCCTCAGTGTGTGTGTTAGGGCACGTTATACACAGAAAAGCATCAGAGTTGTTCTGCTTCAGGGGTTCAGTTGCCAGGCAAGAACCACTGACAACAAATTCCAGGATCACTAAGTGAGTCAGGATTTCAGCCAGATTCTAGATACAGAGTTTCACATTCAGGTTAACTCTATATCATAGGTCTAAATATTAATTCTAGTAAGCATCCCTGAGGCAATGCCCTCATTTTATCAAACAATTCATATTTAGATATGGAATAAATCATTCTTAAATTCTAGGCCTTACTAAAAGTTTCCAAACCTACAGAATAAACATAAACCAATAGGGCCTTTCCATGAAAGCCCTGTGTCAGTACTAAAAACTTTGATTCTAATGTATCTTAAACACATGATGAGAGGAAAAGACTGACAGCCAAGTACCAAGTTACTGAGTCCCACCCTCCAATTTAAAAACCCTATGTCATTCTTCTTATTCCTGGGGTTTGGATTCATCAGCTGCAGGTCACTGGGAAATCTGCCATCTATCCCTCACTCCCTAAAGCATGGACCCCACTGGCCTCCACAAACTGGAAGTACCTTCTATATTTTCCTTTCTTGACCTCATCATCATGCAAGATTTCTCTACGATGGATCTTCTGTGGAGGGAAGGGAGGGGGAGAGGGGCACGGGGGCAGAGTGAGCTGACTCTCCTGAAGCACAAAGGCTTTCCTGAGCTCTCTTCCCTGATCTCTACAGGGTTCTTGGAAAGAAGAAATGATAGAAAATAGGAGCAAACTCACTGTTCGAACAAGTGCCTGCTGACACCTGTGTCCACTGCGCTGAGCGGATCGTCCAGGAGGTAGATGTCTGCATCCTGATACACGGCTCTAGAAAACGTAGAGAGACATCAGGAGAGGACACTTCACACTCCCTGGGTCTCATCTCTGAATCATGACAGCGTCCAACAATTCCATGTTCATTCCTGGGGCCCAGGGAAAGGACCAAGACTCTGCTTCATACAGACTACCCAGTGACTGGGGTCTGCGTGCTCACGTCCACTAGGAGTCATGGAGGAGGAGGGGCAGGATGGCAACTGAAACCCCATTTACCTGGCGAGGTTGACGCAGGCTTTCTGTCCTTCACTCAGAGGGGTTCCCCGGTCTCCTATCACAGTTAGATCTCCATCCTTCAGAAGTTGCAAATCCTACATGAAGATAGAAAAGGGAAAAAAGAAAAAGATGTAAAATGTGTTCTCCTTCTGCCATCCTAATCTTTTAGCATCAATTCTCCAAATAATGTTTGATCCACAGCAATGGGTATATTTCATAGTGACTAAACTGTAACACTGAACAATTTTCAGGGTTTTTTAAATTCGTTTTTATTCTATAGCTTTTCACAGCATTTATGCATTCAACCATTATAACAGATATTTATTGGGATCAACTATACCCCAGGCACTGTTCTGTGCACAGTGAATTCAGCCACGAGGAAACAAAGTCCCAGAGTTTCTTCCCATGGTGGGAGACAGACAATATGGAAAATTAACCTTAGTGCAAGTACTGAGGATGAGAATGAAAAAGAAGCCGGCTCAGGGGGATGGAGAGTGAAGGAGGGAAGTGAGTCCACATGGGGGGGGTGCTCTGCTCAGAGGAGGGTGAGCAGATCTGGGGGAGGGGCTCAGGCAGACCCAGAGAGGCTGCTCCTCACAGAGGGAGGGGCGGGTGCAGGGGCCACGGGGAGATGCCCAAGGGGGTCAGGACAAGGAGGCAGGAGAGCAGAGTGAGAATGAGGGGAGTGAGGGCAGAGACGGAGCAGGAGGAGCCTGGGGTCACTCCCAGTAACAGGAGAAGGGGACGACTGATGTGGTCTAAGGTTTTCAAGGAATCACTCCTGTGCTTTGTAGAAAACAGACAGTAAGCTCAGAACTGTGAGGGTGGATACAAGTGAGAAGGCTACTGAAATAATCTAAGGGAGAGATGACGGTGGCCAGGACCACAGTGGAAGCATTGGAAATGGAGAGACAGGGTCACATTCCAGACACATTTGGAAGGTGGAGTCTGTAAGACTTGATGACGGGATGGGTATGGGATTTAAGAGAAGAGGAGGACTATGGTGTTTGGGATGGGAGGAAGGGGAAAGACAGGGTCTCCATTTACTGACTTGGGGAAGATGGTGGAGGCAGGTTTAGGAGACTTCTTTTGTGGGCAAGCTGAGATGACCATTCGGTGATGTCATGGTGCAGCTGGGCATGCAGGTGTGAAGGTCTGTGCTAGAGACACAGGTGTGAGAACTGGTGGCCCAGGAGGGGAAGGCACAGGACTTACTTTGTCAAGAAATAAGTGTGTCTTCAAAAGACATTTTGCTGAACTCAGGCTCAGCTCCTCACCTTCAGAGAAAGTGTAACACATGACCCATGTCTTCACAGTGATACTTAAGGCAAGTGATAGACTGACAAAGTCTGTATAAGGAATATCAGTCTGGGCAAGAAAAAAACAAAGGAAAACAAACAATGTGTTCCAGGGACGCCCAGATCATCTGGTCTGAGTAGATGCCTGTCCATGGGAGCAGGAAAAACTGAAAGCTAAGAAGGATATGAAGTTTGTTTTTTTTTTAACTTATTTTGGTCACACCACATGGCATGGGGGATCTTAGTTCCCTAATAAAGGATAGAACCCGTGGCCCCTGCAATGGACCACCAGGGAAGTCCCATGAAGTTTTGACTTGGGGATCTGAGAATCTATCAAAAGTTATATTCGAATACTATTGGAAAAGCAAATAGACAAATCAGAGTACCTGGGGAAAAAAAGAAAAGATGATAATAACACTTCCAAAATGTCAAGAAAACAATCTGGCTTAAGTTACACAGTTATTATATTAGAAATCTTAGATTACCTATAATTTACCACTCAACACATCCTGGCACAGACAAGCAGAGTTTGCGGGGAGTCTGTTATCTACTAAAACCCCTCAGGCATCAATCTAGGATGCACAGCAGGACCTTTCTGCAGATGATGCCCTCATTTCTCTGTCTCTAGTTCACCAAATTTGTGGAGAAGGCAGGTGGCACACTGGAGTCTCCATGATAAACAAGTCCTTTGACCTCCCTAAGTCTCACTTTTCTCTTCTATAGAATGTGCTACAGAAACAAGAGTCACTAAACTCAAGGATGCTATGAGAACCTAAGGCAGTGTATGAATGACCTCCATAAATGGAAAAAGAACAGGAATTGATTGTAACTTGCTATTGGTGACTGATGCCTATTTTCTCAGCAAACCAACAGTGGGACACCATTCAGTGTGAATTACGGCATGCAAAACACATGACCAAAAGGAGAAGAAAGAGACTGTCTCCATAAGAACCCTCCCTGACAGGCACAGAGACGCATAAACACACACAGGTTCACTGCACTCTGAAAGTTTAACACCGCAGAGCAGACTGTTGAAATAGTTGATAAAGATCGAACGTGAGGCCCTGGCTATGCTCATAATTGAGAGCTAATTTATTTTCAAAATTATTCTAACATTTATAGCATGCCTGTTATGTCCCTAGTAATCAGGTGTTTTAAAATCATGACTGCATTTCATCCTTGAAACCACCTTATAAGGTTGATAGTACTATTATCTCCATCAGACAAAACCACACAACTTGTGAACAGAGAAACTGAGACTCAACCCCTAAGCCTTCTGACTCCTGGGCCTTGGAGTTGACGTCATCAGCCTGAACCAATGTTGCCAATGGGATTATTTCATATCTCCCTATTTGATTAGAGAAAAGTTTTCAGATCAATGAACCTAAACATTTATTTCAATTAAATCAAGTACAATACATCTGGTTGTTATTTACATATGTAATACAAGAAATATTGCTTTTCTTTCTTTTATCCTCCAGGATTTGGAGGAGATGGAGGTATGGAAACTATAAAATGAAATCTTTATTATATTTATATGGATGGAGAGACATAGAGAAAAGATCTATAATACTATCAATAGCTAATATAGACAATGCCTGTAAAATGCAAACATGCCAAGATTTCAACTGAAAACCTTTACCATAATCCCACCCCTCCCCCATTTAATAAAAAATGAAACTGAGATAAACACCTGGAGTTACTACCCAGGACTGTTTCTCTCCAAAAAGCCAAGCCTTTTCTACTATACATGCCACCTCTGTGCCAACAGGCCAAAATAACTCTAGGATGCCACAATTATCTGTGACCATCTTATGCACATCCACTGATACATGGATTCCAAAAGGAGATGAGCAGAAGCTCTCATAACTCATTAAATCATTCCCAGATATCTTAAAGACCTTGCTTACTCCTTGCCAATCAGAGTCATAGGTAACATTTCAGAGCAGCAGTAAAACCTCTTAAAAACCCTCTGACCAAATGTCCTCATTTTGTTGCAGAAACATCAGAGGCCCAGGAAAGTAATGGATGCATCCAAAGTTTCAGCAGGCAAATGACAAAGCTGGGGCCAGAACTCTGCCCTCTGCTGCTTCTCTTCCCTGAGCCTCCCTTCCTGCCAAGGAGGGAATGGACACAAGAGGCACAGACTCCATGTCCTGACCCACAGAGAACGAGAGAGCAGTCCATGTTTATAAATGTCACATCAAGTACAGAAGAATCACTGTGCAGCCCAGTCTAGCAGGGACTCTTCCCACCAGAGTCTGTTACACATGCCCCACTGAGGGTGGGTGAAGCCCCAGGACACTGCCCGAGTCATTGGTTCAATCACCCCATGTGGCTGCAGCAAAGCATTGGCCCCCAGGGTAAATGCTAAATGGCAGCCACTGTCCAGCACTTGCTCTTCTCCAGAGATGACCAAATGTGGGAAGAAAGACAGGGCTGAGCTTCACCAGAAAGGCAAGGTCATGAAAGAAACATCCACACCCTACACTGGGTCTCTGGAGTCTGATCTGGGCATCAGGAGCTGGATGTGATTAAGGTAAAGAGGAAATGCCTGAGATCTGTTTGCTCTACATCCCACCTTCATCCACTACATGGATGAAGTCCTGATTAAAAAGTTCTTCCTTATAAACTTCTTCAACTGAGAGACAGCACAGCACCGAAGACAAGCATGGAATCTAGGGTCCTGAAAAAATGCATCTGAACTTGAGCTGCAAAAGCTCAGGTGAGCCTTTTCATCTCTCCAAGCCTCAGTTTTACCAACTATAAAATGAGGATTGCAACACTGATGACACTCATAAAGAATTAATAACTCATATACCCTCTTGATTTGCACATGGACCCTAAATAAATCAGAGCTATTGTCTCACTGTTCTGTTTGCTTCCTCTTTTTTTATACAACATATACATTATTTGATAAAAATTCTAGCTCATTTCTGCCATCTTGACATCATTTCTGCAAATGCACAATCTCCTATTAATAAGAACCCAGGAAAAAGAATAGCAGTTTATTAAATGAACAACTCTGTTTTGTTCACATCATCATAAAGTGCTACTCACCTGACAATCTATGATGTTCAAGTAAAATTACTATTTCCACAGAAAGTAGGTATGGAGGCTTCTACACAACATCTCTGAAAGTCTGTTCAAGTCTTTTCTTCACAGTACAAAAAAACAGTGTCCAGATTGCACTGAACAGACTCTTTTAAGGGGAGCCCTTTAAAGCTGTTATTCTTATTTTCATAATGCAAGTGAGTGACATATTATTTATCAGTATCTACATTTTTTCTTCTTGCCAATTTATATTCTCCTTATAGGTAAATTCAGTTTTCACCATTCATTCACTAATTTCAACTAAATCCCAACACAGAGTTTCATCTTGCCATTTTCTCTGAAACTCAATGCCATTTCTGAAAACAATCTCTCCCCAAACAAAATGATTCAGCATAAAGAAAAAACTTTTAAAGCATTCAATTTTCTTTAAATAATAAATTACAAGTCAAAAATGATGTGGAGAGGGAAAACTACAGACTGAAAGGGACTGAGGAGGTATCTATTGAATGCAGTGGACAGACCTCATAAGGAGTCTGATTTCAACAACGGTCAAGGAGATTTCTAAGCTAGAAGATTAGCAACATGTAAACACAGGCTATAACATTGATGATATTCAGGAATTTGGGTTATTTTTCAGGTGACATAATGTGGTGATTTTGTTTCCCAAAGGCTTTCTTATCTCTTAGAGAAAACCAATGAAGTGTTTACAAATGAACTGATCTGAGGTTCAGGATCGTCTCCAGAATAATCTGGGGTGGAGAGTGGGGCTGGCAGCAGGACTGGCCACCAGCTGCTGCTGGTTGGAACTGGCTGGGGCTGGGTCTGTGAGGGTTCCTAACACTGTGCTTGCTATTATGAGAAATTTTTGTAATTGTCCACTAAAAATGAAGTCAAAAGTGAATAAAACTTCACAGAATGAGACAACTCTCCCCCCGCCAAAGATGCATTCTGTGAGTGTTGTTATCACATCAGGATTAAACCAACAGCATATATGACTGCATATATTTACCCAGAAAGCCAGTTTAAAATATTAAGTGAAAAAAGTGAAAGTGAAAGTCATGTCCGACTCTTTGCAACCCCATGGACTATACAGTCCATGGAATTCTCCAGGCCAGAATACAATCAAAGATCATTCAAATTAAAAAATAAAATAAAATCATTCTCAACAAACCTTGTAGTTTAAGCCAACAGTATCATTATTTGAAATTGAAGTATATGCAACTCAAAAGTTATTACTCACCTCTTCCAAAGCACAAGCCTTTATCACCTTTTCATATGGTCCTTCTTCGTATTTCTTCCCAAATAAAATGTTATTTCTCACAGTTCCTGGAAACACCAGAGCTGTTGAGAAACATACGCGATACTCCCGTGCATATTGACCTTCCCCTGCTTCAGGGGCAGCTCCCCCAGCAGAGCGTGTAACAGTGACGACTGAAACAGATGGCAACACACATGTGAACAGGCAGCACTCAGGACAGAACACGCCCCACAGCACAGCCGACCCCACCCTGGTGCTTGATACACGATAGAACCCTTTCCTTCAACAGGATGAAGTACAGCTCTGGCAGTTGCAAACAAAAAATTGAAAATAACACTATTGGTCAATGTAAACTAATGGCTGATGAAGAACATTAACAAAATACTACTATATAACAATCCACTCTGCCCAAGTTTCCCCCAAATGAATTACTTTACTTAGCAAAGACTAATGAGGAGTGTTTAACATCCTTCACTAGCAAAGCAGTCAGCAGGAGGTGTATTTTCTACGTCTGATGTCTAAAGAAATTGTTCTCAGATCTGGGTATCCTTTACTTGACAAATACTAGTTCTTAAAAAGCTATGTATGAAGAATATATCTAAAGATGATTAATTAAAAGAACTCTGAAATTTGCTATGCTGAAGAGCAAAAGTCCATGATAGAGGAAATCAGCACCGTTTCATGTACACATCCCACATTTAGATTTCTATATTTTGTTGTACAAAACACAGGAGACTAAGTGCACATGCACATGTCCTTCAAATCTTAAACATTGCACAGATGGTGTGTCCGTACCCACACCATCAGAATTCTAGCCACACTGGGCTGAAATAATCTGCCTGCGTATCTGTCTCACTCCAGAACCTGGCTGCTCTAGAGCAGAGGCATCGGAGTCTTGCTCATGTCTGTATCTTAAGCTCCAACATGTGGCTGCACATTCACTGCATGTGCACTGACAGGATCAAGTCAGGTCATGTGAGGAAATGCTCAGAGCTTCTCCGAAGAGCCTTTATAACCTCCAGACTTTCTGGAGGCGCCACTGTGATGAAAAGAAGTCCCCATTGTCTCATCCATGGGGTGGCAAAGAGTCAGACATGACTGAGTGACTGAACTGAACTGTCTCATTCCATCCTGAATAATGTCACGTAAATAATTTCCTTCACTAAGACGTCCAAACATCCGACAAGCGGTTCCCAACTGTGCAACGTGAAGCACCAAGAAGGAAAACCCAGTGTGCATTTATCCAGATTTAATTGCCATGAAACTTTCTTGCAAAACTAATGCTCCACGGAACACACCTAGAGAAACACTGTTCCAGGTACACCCAATTCTAACTTTGTTACACATAGGTCTGGGCTCAACTCTAAGAATTTTGTTTGTTTGTTTTGCTTCATTGGGTCATAGCTGTAGCACTCAAGATCTTTCATTCCAGCACACAGGCTTAGTTGCCCCATGGTATGTGGGATCTTAGTTCCTCAACCAGGGATCAAACCAATGTCCCCTACATTGGAGGGCAGATTCTTAACCACTGGGCCATCAGGCAAGTTCCTCAACTTTGAGAATTTAACAGGGGCTGCAGCATTGCATCAAGTTGTCAAAAAGCATCACAACTTACCTTTCCTGCTCCCACAGGTCCAATCACAGCTAACAGTTCTCCAGGTCTGACAGTAAAGGAAAGACCTTGTAGGGTTGGGGTTCCTAATGCCTGCAAATATCAATTTATAAAAATGCACCCGTTTCAATAAAGTAACACAAATTACTACAGAAAATGGGGGAAATAACATAATAGTCATAGATATGCTAATATAACCCCCATTTTTCTCCTTCCTATTTTAAGATACTGTGTCCTAGAGGCCTTTTCATCCAATTATCTCTCTTCAAGAGGCTGAAATAACTTTAGTTGATTTTAGGAAGACTCTTTCTTTTACCAGATATCCATACGGACACAGCTCTAGACACCCACAGTATTTAAGTAGTTGAAATGACAAGATACCTGCATGAAATGCAAATTTTATGATGTATACTAACTTATTAAAATAATATACTTAATAGAATATTTGATATAGGAGGCTTTTCATCATCTGTGTTTTCATTATGACCCTTGGTTTTAACTTTCATTCATCTCCATGATGTGGCAGCTTAAGTACATGATGAACCTGGCCCTCTACTAATAAATTGAAATCTCTACTATCTCTCCATTTTCATTTGACAAAGAATGAATCTCAATAATGATAAGCAAGCAAGAGGGCACTTTATATGATGAAGTCTTTCTTGGTAAATTAACTCTTATAAGTAATGGTCAAAGCTCTAACTTTACAAGAGCTCTAATTTAACACCAACAACAACAAAAAAGGGGGGGATTAAGAAACTAATTATTACTTTGTGGGTCAGAGTGATAAAGCCTGAATTTTATATGTTACATGCATTACCTGTCCTGGATAAACAGTGACAATAAAATACTTATACTGTAAGGAAAACAAGAATGACAGTGCATGTGATAGCACACAATCCAACATGAGGGAGAAGAACAAAGTGTTCATCATGCCAATGACAGGTCATATTCCTGAGAGACTTAAGGGTGTGTATGTCCTTATATATCCTAAGTGTTAAGAAAGCTGTCAGTCAAACCCACAGCAAGCATCACCCTCAATGGTGAAAAATTGAAAGCATTTCCCCTGAAATCAGGAACAAGACAAGGGTGCCCACTCTCACCACTACTATTCAACATAGTTTTGGAAGTGTTAGCCACAGCAATCAGGGCAGAAAAAGAAGTAAAAGGAATCCAGATAGGAAAAGAAGAAGTGAAATTCTCTCTGTTTGCAGATGACATGATCCTCTACATAGAAAACCCTAAAGACTCTATCAGAAAATTACTAGAGCTAATCAACGAATACAGTTAAGTTGCAGGATATAAAATTAACACACAGAAATCTCTTGCATTCCTATACACTAACAATGAGAAAACAGAAAGAGAAATTAAGGAAACAATACCATTCACCATTGCAACAAAAAGAATAAAATACTTAGGAGTATATCTACCTAAAGAAACAAAAGACCTATACATAGAAAACTATAAAACACTGATGAAAGAAATCAAAGAGGACACAAACAGATGGAGAAATATACCGTGTTCATGGATTGGAAGAATCAATATTGTCAAAATGGCTATACTACCCAAAGCAATCTATAGATTCAATGCAGTCCCTATCAAACTACCAACGGTATTTTTCACAGAACTAGAACAAATGATTTCACAATTTGTATGGAAATACAAAAAACCTCGAATAGCCAAAGTAACCTTGAGAAAGAAGAATGGAACTGGAGGAATCAACCTGCCTGACTTCAGACTCTACTACAAAGCCACAGTCATCAAGACAGTATGGTACTGGCACAAAGACAGAAATATAGATCAATGGAACAGAATAGAAAGCCCAGAGAGAAATCCACGAACCTATGGTCACCTTATCTTCGACAAAGGAGGCAAGGATATACAATGGAAAAAACACAACCTCTTTAACAAGTGGTCCTGGGAAAACTGGTCAACCACCTGTAAAAGAATGAAACTAGAACACTTTCTAACACCATACACAAAAATAAGCTCAAAATGGATTAAAGATCTAAATGTAAGACCAGAAATTATAAAACTCCTAGAGGAGAACATAGGCAAAACACTCTCCAACATAAATCACAGCAGGATCCTCTATGACCCACATCCCAGAATTTTAGAAACAAAAGCAAAAATAAACAAATGGGACCTAATGAAACTTAAAAGCTTTTGCACAACAAAGGAAACTATAAGCAAGGTGAAAAGACAGCCCTCAGATTGGGAGAAAATAATAGCAAACGAAGCAACAGACAAAGAATTAATCTCAAAAATATACAAGCAACTCCTCCAGCTCAACTCCAGAAAAATAAATGACCCAATCAAAAAATGGGCCAAAGAACTAAACAGACATTTCTCCAAGGAAGACATACAGATGGCACAAAAACACATGGAAAGATGCTCAACATCACTCATTATCAGAGAAATGCAAATCAAAACCACAATGAGGTACCATTACACACCAGTCAGGATGGCTACTATCCAAATGTCTACAAGCAATAAATGCTGGAGAGGGTGTGGAGAAAAGGGAACCCTCTTACACTGTTGGTGGGAATGCAAACTAGTACAGCCACTATGGAAAACAGGGTGGAGATTTCTTAAAAAGCTGGAAATAGAACTGCCATATGACCCAGCAATCCCACTTCTGGGCATACACACTGAGGAAACCAGATCTGAAAGAGACACATGCACCCCAATGTTCATCGCAGCACTGTTTATAATAGCCAGGACATGGAAGCAACCTAGATGTCCATCAGCAGACGAATGGATGAGGAAGATGTGGTACATATACACCATGGAATATTACTCAGCCATTAAAAAGAATTCATTTGAATCAGTTCTAATGAGATGGATAAAACTGGAGCCCATTATACAGAGTGAAGTAAGCCAGAAAGATAAAGACCATTACAGTATACTAACACATATATATGGAATTTAGAAAGATGGTAACGATAACCCTATATGAAAAACAGAAAAAGAGACACAGATGTATAGAACAGACTTGTGGACTCTGTGGGAGAAGGCGAGGGTGGGATGTTTCAAGAGAACAGCATCGAAACATGTATATTATCTAGGGTGAAACAGATCACCAGCCAGGTTGGATGCATGAGACAAGTGCTTAGGCCTGGTGCACTGGGAAGACCCAGAGGGATCAGGTGGAGAGGGAGGTGGGAGGGGGGACCGGATTGGGGAATACATGTAAATCCATGGCTAATTCATTTCAATGTATGACAAAAACCACTGCAATGTTGTAAAGTAATTAGCCTCCAACTCATAAAAAAAAAAAAGAAAGCTGTCAGTAACTGATCATAATTTTTTTTAAAAAGAGGTTACATTTGGTTAGTAAAATGCCCAAAAAACTAAAAGCAAAAAGTCTGGATAAAATATCAGAATAATCCTCAAAATAAAAAAAATTATCTGGAAAGAACTGAACTAATTATAAAACATTCACATACTAAAAAAAAAAAATCACAATTATTCTTCATCACCAGAAAAAAAACCTCAGCTATTATAGGAATTACAAATCTACCAATAAGAAGCTAGATTTTTATTACATGAGAAATATTTTTTTAAGCTTCTTCACTCCTTTCTTCTTGTCTGACACTTAGGGTTCTATTTTACTACTTTTCACTCAGTTATGACTACGAAACAATGAGCCACATACAAGCAGCTTCCTGTCCCCACACCTCACGGTTTCTCAGGGCCAAACACTGAGCTCCCTCCCTGTTCAGGCTTCAGAATCTGGCACTTCTCTGTCCAGTTCTGTAAATTCTAACATTACAAATACATGTAAAGTTCAAGATGTGCTAATATGTTGAAAGTTCTCTTGAAAACAAAAGAAAGAACAACATGTCAAACATTTTAGGCTGAGTTTACACTTAATCTTGTTAGTTGTAAAGTTTATTCCTCATTTGAGAATTTTTATAACATACTTTCAGTAAATGAGCAGGTCACATTTTACACCATGGGTAAAATCTCAAAACTCTCCAATAAATCTATGTCACAGTTGTTTATTAGCAGTCATGATCTAGGAATGGAAGACTTATTACCTTATCCCAAAAAGCAGTGAAATCTTGCACATGTACTATTGTTTCACCATCTGATGACAGCTGAGGGTTGAGCTGTGGTATCTCATCAAGTAACAGAAAGTTCTACAGAAAAAGGAAAAACAGACAGTTTAGTCTGTAGGATGAAAGCACAAACAAAAATAAATGCTTTCATGGAATTTGTAATAAAAACCTATATAGCCTACATATTGTTTTGCTAATTGTAAGTGCTGGCTCACATCAGAATATACTAAGTAATGTTTAGAATAATATATGCCATTATTACAACATATTGTATATAAAATCATAATAAAGTATATAGTATACATACAGTATTTTATATAGGGGTATGTGTATGTGTACACATATATAATGTGTGTATATGATATATATCGAGAGAGTTGCTGGCCATGAGTCTATCTGTAATTTTCTCAACATTCCTCAGTGTATGAGTTTCTCCCTAAAGAGAAAGTATGGCTCCAAACCACAATACATCTAGAATCTGGACATTTTATTGTTTTCTTTGTGTGCCACTAACAGTAAACAAGGAGCTGGTAGGAAAGTATTCCATAAATATTTACTGAGTCCCACCAGCTGCCAAGCACCCTGTGACACTGCTAGGAACACAGAGAGAGAGGCCTTTCCCAGGCCTTCAGCAATCAGGTGCACAGGACAGGCTGGGAGCACAAGACCTACAGCAGAGATGCCGGATGAAAACTCTGGCTCTGCCTGTTGGATTGTGACCTCTACCTGGGCACTTAAGTATACACTCTTCTTTTCTCATGTGAGTTATGTCATTATCACTACTTGTCATTAACTATCACTTGTCATCATTCTAAAAAGAAAATGTTCTTACTAAGTTTCTCTTAAAAATACTTCACAAGCATCTTTTCACCATCCCTTATCTCTTCTCCTTAGTCAGTGCCCTCTCTCCTCCTTGGCAGGAATGGATGCACCTCCCACTTCTTGCTATTTTCATACCACTCAGCAGCTATTCAATGCAATTTAACCAAATAAAACCAAGTCCTGTGAACCACTACAGAGCTAACATAATCA